ACCCCGTTTGCAGGGCGGGCGGAGCGGCGCGAAAGCCCCGCTACCGGTACCGCCGGCCCCTGGAGTTCCGGGTCGCGGTCGGCGTCTCTAATCCTCTCGCCACGCCGTCCAACAAGAGAGCATCCACACAGCCGCCCCTACCCCACGGCCCTGCCGGAGACGCTGTGGGCTGCCGCTTGTCCCGTGTGGAGAAGTCGCCCCCGCAACATTCATCCAGGACACGCGCATTTGTGTTGGGTAGCGGCCGATATCGTCATCATTTGTTAACACCTCCTCACTGATTCATAGGCGAACGCCCCTTTTCTCAACTGCTTCTTCAGATATGTGCCTTACCCTTCGCGTTAAAAAGAAAGTGTTCCTTATGTGTGCCTGAAGCTTATTTTCTACTGTTCGAACAACTCAATCTGGAAAAAATGTTACATCTCGCTTGTAAAGTGCAGTTTTTTCATCGAGACCGCCCTTCAAGTCACGTCAAATAGTTTTTCTTCACAGTTGTAATCATAAAAAATTAACGGACGATAAGTGCGGCCTTGATCTATCCACACGTAAGCTAGGGCCAGTCATTTTTTATTTTATAAACATATCCATTAAGCTAAGACCTGCGAGTGTACTCCGGCAAAACTGCTCTGTTATGAGAAACCAGGTTTGACTCGAAATAAAAAAGGCGCCTACAACTTTTAACACAAAACCGAGCATATAACTGAAGTTAACTAGAGCGCCATTCACTTAGTTACGCCCCAGCTTGCGACACGATATCATAGGCTGCCTACGATCCCACCATTACAGATTCACAAAAAATCTCGAAGATATACAGAAACACTTTTCATCACCTATAATGTTTCTCTAGTTCCTTGAGAAAAGATCAAATGAGTTGTCAAAACATACTAATAACCATCAACTTGCAGAAATGACATAAACAACCACTTTATCAAAATTCAATTGATTTGAGCGTAAAAGTAGGCGACTTTAGGGCGCTCAAGTAGCTTTTCTCCTTATATTATTCATATACAATGAATACAGTAATCGAATCCCTCATTATCCCTATACCAGCAATTCGTCACGTCTAAATAGAACGCAATGAAACCATTTATTAATACACTCCGTAGAAAGAAAAAAATGTGAGGTATATATATCCGTGACCTGTGATACCTCATATGACATATCCATTCACGTTGAACCTGGTGAACGATTGTTTTTGTTAGCTTGATTTTTATAATCATTCGACCTCTCGGATTCTGCAAAAAAGAAAACTTACAACTCATAAACACGAAGAGATCATCAACTAGCGAAGAAACACCGAATCACGCACAAAGCCTTAAAACCAGGAAGTCTACTGCTGACGAGAATCTCCTACCCCAGACGCAACTTAATATTCAATTCTAGAAGTCACGTTCTTCCTACCATATCGATTGAAATGCTATTATCGTTCTGTCCATGAGTCAGTCAAGGAGTCTCGGAATTATTGCGATTATTGATTATTTTTCTTAAATCTACCTACATCTCTGTTTGATCTACATTAGTACACGTTAAAGTAGGAAACTGTCAATCAATTTAATTCATTCAGAATCTTCGATTAATGATCTTTACTGGCACTAGCTCAAACGTTCTATTAGTGGGGTGAGAGACGAGAGGACCCACTCTCCCCTATTAGACGCTGTCACGGACTCCTCGACGGAAAAAAATAATTCGCCTTGCCTCCGACGGCGCTCTGCATGGAAGGCGCTGGAGTCGGCGGGCGGCGCCATCCTCGCCACGCCCGGCACCAGCGCCTACCCCACGGGCGCCTGGGAGACGCTGTGGGGCGTGCCGCTGTGGCCCGTGGAGAAGTCGCCCCGCAACATCATCCAGGTACGGCGCCGCCGCGCTTTGGTGTTGGGGTAGCGGCCGATGGCGTCACGTCATTGTTACACCTCCTCACTGATTCATAGGCGAACGCCCTTCTCAACTGGCTTCAGATATGTGCTTACCGCTGTTAAAAAGATGTCCCGTTATGTGTGCCTGAAGTTATTCTCTTCGACATCTGAAAAATGTTACATCCGCTTGAAAGTCATTTTTCCTGACGCCGCTTCAATTGTAAAATAGTTTTTTCTTCAAGTGTATAAAAAGACGGATTATGGGTGTGACTATCCACACGTGAAGTGGGTCATTTTTTTAAAACTATCCATTAAAAAGGCAGTTGCCAAGACATCTGTCTTGTTTGCGAGAAAAAAGGGTCTTTACACACGGAAATATAATGAAGTAAATAGACGTATCCCTTAGTACCGCTTGCGCATTCATGGCCCTACGTACCATACTTCAATCCTCGAGATATCAAACACTTTATCCCAATAATTTTTTTCGTTTTTTAGAAACATGTTGTCCATACTTATCTCACTTGATGAGAAAACAACCATTTTGCATTAAGATGGCGAAAGAAGGCAGTGCTTTTTTTATAATCATGAACAGTAGGCATCTATCATATAACGATTCGTAATATAGAAGCATTTTTATACACTCGTAGAAAAAAATGTGTTTATATTTCGTGACCGTGATGATTATTTCTTGAACGACTTCGATTGTTTTTGTTAGTTTATTTTTTCTTCGACCTCTCGGATTCGGCAAAAAAACTCAATCTCGATCGTGCGAACCGATCACGCCCTTAAAAGGACTGGCGCTGGCGTGTCCCTGTGACTCGCCGTCGCGCGCAGAGCGCTGCGTTCTGCGCATGCGCAGCCGATATATTCCTAAACTAAAAACATCTCCGTTATCACGAGACGATGTGACTGTCAATATTTTCAGTTAGATGTTCGATTCATATTTCATGGCAAATGGCCAGGGACATTCTCTATAGCGCCGGTCTGGGTAAAAAATGTCGCCTGCCTCCGCGCGTGTCGGAGAAATACTCTTAAACTAAAGTTTCTAGAACCGTACACACTACAAGAAAGCCAGATGCTCTTTTGTGTGTGTGTGTGTGTGTGTGTGTGTATATATATATATATATATATATATATATATAGAGAGAGAGAGAGAGAGAGAGAGAGAGAGAGAGACAGACAGACAGACAGAGAGAGAGAGGGTCGGAGAGTGTGATCGAAACCAGTTCGTAATAACAACTCAAGCTGTTGGCCTGATGTAACTGACGTAATCGAGGCTTTTCTATGCGTTCAACTATACTCAGCTTGCTAACTTTTAGTTTGTACTGCTACTTACCAGCAAATATCTGTCTTTAGTAAAAACGAAATAGGTCGAACCGAAAATGACGCTGATAGGCGTCTCAGAAACCTTAGATTACGTACTTACAACAGCTGACATGACAATTCCTGAGCGAAGAGATAGAATAGGTTACTCAGAAATTCTGTGGAGAATCTTTGTTGCATCTCGTAAATATTATTAGAAGCAAGTACCGTTAAAATGATATTGATGAAATCATCAAAAAATGCATTCAAAATACGGGAAAAGGTTAAAAGAGACTTCTTAGTCGAAACGGACGAAAAATGCAAAAAGTGACTTATAAACATGGGTAATTTCGTTTTGTCATACCATAAAACTGTTCTAAAGTGAAAAGCAAAAAACTACAATTTGATTAAAATCCGCCCCCAGTTATAAGTAGTGCATTCCAATGAGTGGCCGGGCTGGTGTGTGTGGGCAGCCGTCGCTGGAGCCCGGCGCGTGTTGGGCGTTCCGCGGCGCCGAGGGCCGCGTGGCCGTGGCGCTTGCCCTGCCCGCGCGCCTCACGCACGTCACCCTGGAGCACCTGCCGGCCTCCGCCGCGCTCACCGGCAGCCGCGCCTCCGCGCCGCGCCGCTGCTCCGTCACGGTACGCCCGCCTCTCGCCCTGCGACCACGTCTTTCCTTCCTCACGGCCAGCCGGACGCCGCCGCTGCTGCCGCTCGGCTGACTCGCCACCAAGTCGCGGAGGCGATAAGCTTCCGTTATGAACACGGCATCAACACGTGTCGTCGCCTGACAACCTTTTGAGGTTTCATTTATCGCTCATGTAGGTGGTGCCAGGAGCGGAGATATGTGTGGCAAACAGCGCATCGAGTCGCTTATATGCTGCCGGTACTGTAGTTGAGCTTCGATAGGACGTACTATCTCGCTCTAACGGCTTTGTAATATATCCTGAGAGCGTAGGCTTTCGCGGCCGGAGTCAGCATCTACTTGGGTGTCCGGATGTCAACACGATCTAGGCACAGATGACAACGCAGGTTGCTGCTTGACGGCAAAAAACGTTGGCGTCTGGGCATAGGACGCGACGTCTCCCGAACAGCCAAGTAGAGAAACTTCTATCCCTGTTAACACTTCAGCCATCGCTTGAAGAACTCAAACAACGTAACTCAAAAATGAGGGAAAACTATTAATATTTTTGAAAGAACGTTGAAGAAGACATTCATTAAATATTTAATTTTGAAAAATAAATTTCATTTTTAAAAAGACGTTCATCTTAACTGTTATAGTTGAAGGAAGGGTTCCAAACAATTTTATATTTTTGCAATTTTCGAAATTTTAGAATCGGGCCAGTGCCATTTTCGTCGGTGTAGTTTTTGCTCGTCGAGCAAAAACATTAAAGAAAAAAATTGGAGCTCTTTTTGAAGAAAAAATCGGAAACATTATAGTGATTTCGTTTAAAGGGTCCTGTTAAAATTAAAAAATCCTGTTTAAAATTGGGGACGATTGGGGATTATCCATTTTTGTGAATATCCTATGTATGGTTTATGCGCTAATGTAGTTAAATATTATTATTATTATTATTATTATTATTATTATTATTATTATTATTATTGTTGTTGTTGTTGTTGTTGTTGTTGTTGTTGTTGTTGTTGTTATTATTATTATTATTATTATCATCATCAATCATAATCTTGACATCAATTCCGTCAAAATCTTGACATGCGCATTTTTCAGCATTATTTAACTTTCTGTATACAACGTTAAGAAGAAATTCCGTTTCTTGACTCCGTAATGCCTACAAGATACCGATCGCAACTCCGGGATGCTGTGCGGGTTGCCCTCACAGATCTTTGGCAAATGGGGCGTCGGCTGCAGCACCGGAATGCTTCAGACCAGACACAAATTCTACAAAGAATAGAATAAACTAAAAAATAAAACAAGTCTACTCCCCTTTTCTCTTAATAAAATCGTAGAAACCTTCATTAGAGTATTAGAATTTTTCTTGAAACCGAATACCAATTTAAGACAGAAAATATTTAATATCACAACTTGCTAGTCAAAGAATTAAAAAATTGTCCTCACTTTACAATAGAAGTCTGCAAATCTTTAGACTGATATTGATTACTGAACAATCCATTCATTGGCTGTACGTAGAATAAGCAGTAAGCTAAAGAAAATGTGGAAAAAAACGAACGAGAATATTAAAGTATTATTAGGTAGTTTAATTTTGCATAAACAGATTTTTTTTACGAAACATCGTTATTTCACTGTGCAGGGCTTGGAAACAACACAAGACACTTCTGGGCCACACTTGGGGCAGTTCTCTTACAATCTTGATGGACCTCCACGACAAACATTTGTGCTTTCTGTAAGTACATTTCAATGTTTAATATATGATTGTATAAATGACAAATTCAAAACATTCATTCACAAGTTTTACTGATTGGCCTGCAATTTGTACCTGCTTGTCTTACCATTTCTGAGAAATTAATACAAAGGCTTTGAAAATGTATTACACTATTAAATGACAAAAGGGCCAAGACATCAAATGTTTTAACATACGTTTCATATAAAAAGAAAGATGCAGCAAGTGTTCTTACAACATTTTACTCCATGAGGGGGAGGCATTGAGTGCATCTTCCTCTTTCTTCTTTGAATATTTACTTTATATTAAATTGTATATATTTTTTATATTGCTGCTATATTAAATTTAGATTTAAAACGCATAAACTTCTGTCTATTATAGTACATCCGGAAATCTAAAATATTGTATTTATGTGGATTTTATTCCTCTTTATTCATTTTATTATTTAATTTTAATATTCAATACACTACTACCATCCCAAGAAAAAGGGGATTCAACCCCTTCTTGATCACTAAATTTCCAAGCTGCAGAGATAAAGCTCTGGTTCAAACTATTGAAGCATGTTGAAATTTATGAGCTATTGAAATAAATTAATTCCTCTTACACCTTAAAATTTTTGTCAGTGAGTGAAAATAATTGCTTTATATTTTCAGAATGCCCTGGATTACCCCTTCAAGGCTGTTCTGCTACACATTCATAACAACCACGGAAATCCAGAATACACTTGTGTGTACCGTTTCAGAGTGCATGGAAATGTGATCTCTGATCAAATAATACAAAAGAGAACTGGAATATAATGCATCTGTTCTGAACTAAATATAATTGCTTGAAAGGCTGTGAAGTGTGTGTAATTAGCTACATGTATGCAACTGTAATTAAGAGTCTCAAGATATAAAGATGTGTATATAACCATACCATGATTTAAGTCGTATATAAGCAAGGAAGTTCCTACGTGACATTGCAAGATGGCATGAAAGCCATATTTTGAGGTTTTGAATGTTTCTTGATTTATTTCATTTCATTACATTTTTCCTTTAAGATTCTAGGTTTTGTATATTTCCAAGAACATATACATTATAAATATTTAATAGCAATTAATTTTTTATTTCTGAATAAACTAACCTGAACTGAAAATTGACCTAATTATAGCAGGAAAATAATTTATTAATACAGGTTGTCCCTACTGGTCACATAAATGTTTTCGCCATGTGTTCCTATTGTAATTCATGTTTTCTCCGCATTCAATTTGGCAGGCAATGGTACTCAAGCAAGGTTTTAGAACAATTCTCAGAGGAATAACAAGATTTTAAATGAAAAGAACTGCACTCCTTTTTCTTGAACCATAATTATGCTGTAATAGCTGAAGTCATAATCATTACAGGCAATCTGAATTAGTTGCCACCATGTAAATGCTACCTTTGCACAGACAATTGAGTGTGAGATTTTACAAAGTACATTATTAATTCTCTCTCTCTCTCTCTTTTTTTTTTAAATAAACTTAGTAAACTAGTTTAAATTGTTTTTAAACTACAAATTGTTTGAATTGTTGTACACATTAGGTAGAATTAATGATTTACTTATTCAAGACTCTCAACTATTTTTTATCAAATTAATGTAGTTGCAAAATCTCTTTGCTCTTTTAATAAATAATGGTTAATGAAATCTTTACCCAAAATGTTTATTTTTGTTATACGATTATCTTTTGAGACTTAAATGTTTATCATTATCATATCTACTTGAATATTGACTCACATAAAAGCATAAATTTTACAATAATTTTTCCAAATTTTCCTATGCTGTGATTTTGGTATTTCTCAAAAACCTTTCCCCTGTACATAGTAGCATCTCTTTCCAATTTACTCTCTAGGTCGTGACTAAAGAACATTGAGTCTTTCTCAAGCCACGACTAATTGTCTTTGCAAATTAATTAATTCATTCAATGTTTTTAAGAAATTATGTGCAATAATTTTTCACTGAAATTATTTAACATTGAAACCATATCTTTAAACTGCTTAAATAAAAAATTGCTCAATACATTACTTCTTAACAATTGTCATATGAATGGAAGGTCTTAGATGCTCTTTTCAATATGAATGGAAGGTACTCCTTTTTGAGCAATTTTAGGTTTTAGGTAATATAAATTAATGTAAATAACATTGATATATTTCTTACTGCAGTCTATTGTTTCAAAAATCATTTGACCTAGTTCAAAAAAAATTAATGACTTAATAACTGTCATTATGGTAAAAAAAATTCTTAATTACATGGTCCAATTTTCTATTTCATATTTTAAGGGTAGATGAAATTCTGAAGATTTCTGCAAAATTTATTTTAATAAATTGAATTAAGAGTTAAAAAAAAAAAAAAAATTAATTAATTGTTTTTGAAAATTTTGTCCAATAAATGATCAGTTATCAAACAGAAACTGTTAACACGTGTCTATTGCCTTGCGTTTGTGAATTGTTTACGAAGGAAATACTTAACCCATTGGTGATGAGCAATTGATTATCTGAAAGATTCTGGAACAAGCCTGAATGTGAATTCTCAGCATTCAACATCATGGTGCTTCTTGAAGCAGTTACTTCATTAAATCTGCACTATTTCATGCACATAGTTCAAGTAATGGAGCTGCAATAGCAGAGACTTTCTCTAATACTTAATTTTCTAATTTCTTTGGTCTGGGCTACCGTTATGGTCTTGCTACATCTTCTTGCCAGATGCCATCAATTGCCGACCAAAATACTTTTTTAAAGTTTTATCAATATTTTGATACACTAATGGTCGATTAGACATATTACTTTTGGAATATTAAAGAAAAGTAAAAGCTAATACTATATGCAAATTGTCATTGAAAAATCTGGAACCGTTATAAAGAAAAAAATATTTAAGCTCTAGTGTAAATGCGAAATTTGAAGATCTTTTTCACAGGAAGCTTTTCAGTTATTAATAAACTTCATATGTAGCACTTACACTCATAAATGCAATAATGTATACAAATTGCTGGAAATGTGCATATTAACGGCAGGAGAGAGAGAGAAAAAATATGTTTAGTGTGAAATTTTGTGTGTTATGTAATTTTTTAAATAACAAAAGTATACAGTAAAATGAATTTTATGTGATATTAAACAGTACAATTAGCACTATCCATACAAAAAATTTGCAGTGTTTTTGAGAAAATGGCATTTTAGCATTTCCAAAAATGCAGAATTTTGAGATCATTTTCAAAAAAAATTAGATTTTCCAGAATTTTTATGGCAAAATTTAAAGCATGTGTACTCTTAAATGCAATAATGTGAACAAATTGCTGCTATTGTAAATATTAACACTGTCAAAAAAATTATATTTTTTGTAATTTTTGAAGAAAGTAAAGAATAGAACAAAATGGCATTTATGTCATCTAATAAGAGTACATTTAGCACTATCCCTGCCAAAAAGTTTTAAGAAAAAAATGTGTAACCAATTCTGAGTCAATTTCGTTTTTTTTATTTTTGTAAATTGCACATACTGCACGTAATATTGCACGAAAACAACTAAGTTTATAAAAAATGTACATGACCTAAATGAAAGAAATAATTATGGGCAACAAATTTCACTTGAAGGAAAAATCTCTATCTTCAATTTTATAGTTGTAGGAAAACGCTTAAAAAAATTCAAAGTTATGCAATTTTCAAAAATTTACAGTTAACAGTAAAACTCGAACCTATGTCAACATTATAAGTCTATTTTGCTCCATTCTCACAAGATATTTAAAGAACAAATTTGGAACTATTTTTGAGAAAATTTTGAAAACGTCCCTAGGACTTCATGTAAATTTGGGGGTATTTTACCTCCAAATTTTGAAGAATGTTTTTCAAAATCTCAAAGCTTTAACTCGAGCCAGGTGGACTGAGGAATATTCTTTTTAAAAAAATCCTGTGTACATTTAGGGCTAGTGATGTTCACAGACAGATGGATAGATGTTTTGAAAAACAACACTTTTTCGGTATCAGGGGATACCAAAACATGTATTTTCATTGAAATCTTGATAACTTTCTCTATACTATATTACTCCATATGTATGTACGTATACAATAAGTTAAAATTAAACTAGAGGTATGACAATTTAAAATTCTGTCTTTTCCATATATAGAGGATTAAAAGGAATGAGTATGAGCTCATTTTCATTTATATCTTAAGTTCAATTCATTGTTTAAACTGCACTTTAGCTTGGCCATTCATCCTGAGGGTGCTGAGTGTTTTTGACAAAATAAAAGTGAAAGAAATCCAAAATACCCTTGATTCTGGAAATCAGAAAAATTCCGACCTTTTTGTGCCTAAATACTCGTATGACCAAACTGAATCGCTTCACTATGCAGTATATTATATTTATATCATGAAATTTTAATCTAATTGTAATTTGTTTATTTCTTAGTAACTAAAGTGACACTCTACTGTATAAAGCTTAAAGTGCGAGGAAGTTTATCACAATTTATTCAGCAGAACAGTGTAAAGCTCTCTAAAATTGGTATTTTACTCAGACCTGAAAGACTGAATGTCAAAGTGAATTCAGACTAATGTCACTTGCATAGGCATGAACAGCATAGAACAAACGAGGGAGCCAACTACATTGCTGGGTCACCATTTCAAAATACTGTTCATTTTTTAAATGAATTATTCTATGGTTGTAGGAGGGATCAACACTGATTCATTTTCAGGGCATTTTCTTACGTTTTTTGATATTTTGAGCCAATTCTGATTAATTTTCAGGTGTTTCTCTAGGGTATTCAGACACCAAAGGGCACCTTTCCAGGGTGAATTCAAAAGTTTCTTCATGTTTTTCCCTAAATTCGTTCATTACATTACAGGTATCCTTTGAACAAATTCCAATTTTTTCAGTTTCTGGAAAATGCAAGGATTTTTTTCACATTTCATGCCACATTTTTTATGCAATATATTTAATATGATCTCCTAAAGTTCATAAAATGATATGATAAAATGCACTCAATGTAACAAGTCCATTGGGAGGGGGATCTGAAATTAACACGTTGTTTGTAAACAAGTAAATTTCAAATGACTAGATACAATTTCAAATAAAGCCCTTCCAAAAGTCAATTTTAAATAACTGAATATAAAGTACATTTAAAATGTGCAATTCACTTGCAAACTTGGGCAAATATGCTACTATTTTTTGCCAAAAATAAAAACTCATTCACATATAAACACAAAACTTAATTATACTTATTGAAAAATAGCTAGCCAACAAGTATTCACTTTTTCAACTAAGTAAAATATCCAAATTTTTCATCTTTTTATTCCCTGCCAATAGGGCAGTAACTCATTTTTAAACATAGATATGGTTACTATACACAATTTTATTATCCATCCGCTTATCATCACTGTAAATTTTACTATTACTGAATGAATTACTAATTACTATTATTACTAAATACTATATAAAAATTATTTTATACACAATTTGTTTATTAGCAGACACTCTAATTTATTAAAATTCCACACACATATGGAAAATAGTTTTACCTCTTAAAGTTGCTGTAGAACAAGCTAGATCCTTTCAAATAGCTCTGAATAATTTTTACATTCTGTGACTTCAATAAATGCTACCAATTGTCAAGAATCTAGTTCTGTTGTAGCTGCAGGAGATGTTCATGATTTAGGCGTCCAGCTTTAGTCATTTTCAGTCAAGTAAATATGATAGGCCTACTGCAGTTCAAACAATTCATTTAATTGAAGCAAATCTTCAATATGCCCGTTTATTTATCAAATGGTGAAGAGCCTATGCAAATTATACAAACATTATCACCTTAATGCCAGGGTTTTCAAAACTATCCTTAAGATAAAGAGAGTGAACAACATTAATCTAATGACAATTTTATTTTTAATTTTTTAGGTAACTATTGACAGTACTTCTGATGCCTGTGCATGTCAATGATCCTTTAGAGAAGAAACATCTTCATATTTCGAAGATTATATAATTAATACTGGGAGGGTGAAAATGTATGTTATTTTCTGATTGTTACTGCCTTATCCCTTAGTATCTAATGTAACATTCTGCTGAATAAAGCATTAAGCATGTCAGGTGTTAATTTCATGCAGAACCAAAACGGCTGAGACTGGTTTTCAGCCTCTGCAATTTACATGAAACACCAAGCCCATGTAAATTTCCATTACACCTGTGTCACAACCACAGTTTCTTTTCTTTCCCAATACTTCCTACAGCACCCACAAAACAACCAAATTCATTATTAGAGTCAATGAACTTAATACCAATGTTTGAAAGTAACACCAACACAAAATGAATACTCATTATTTACGAAAGGCAATTATGAAATACTGTAGTGCTGACAATAAGAATGATACATTGCAGACCACATGCTTATTCCATTTCAATATCACAAGTTTTCGCGTTTCCAAAGGTGAGATCTTCAAGGCACTTAAAACAGAAATATCATTATTACTGGCAAAAAAGCTTAGATATCTGTTTAATGCAGTGCACATTAAATTTATAACAAAATAGATGGCTCTAGAATTACAGAGAAATCCTGTTATCCCAAATGCAGGCAGGGGCAATTTAAGAAGTATATGTATTTTCCCATATTTGAACAAAACTCACATTTCACTTCAATATATTATTTCAAACTGAAGCCCTAGTTATTAAAATGGTAATTAATCCTTAAGCTATCAAGATTTGTTGTACCCTTTAAATACCAGCAGCAGTAAGGAAGTTTCCCTACCTAAAATTCAACATAGTATTAATATTTCCCTTTAATGACAGTTTTGTTTTGGTTAATATGATTTAACATTAATTCAAGTTCTTATTATAATTTTTTACTATTGTTATCAAATTATCAGTAGAATGAAGAAAATGTGTAACTGAATAAAAATGATTACTAAACGCCACTAATTTAAATTTAAAAAATGTGTGTTTTCTTTACATTTCACATTCCCATCATGGTCAAAATATTCCAGTTAGATATATTTTTGAGGTAAATATTGTAACATTGATTCCTTGCATTTTGCACCTAGAAGAATTACCCAGTGTTTTTATTTACCGCAATAATCTATTACACAGGAAAGAAATTTGATCTATCCCTGCCCTGCTCAGCCTACTTCTATTGAGTGCTTTCCATCCTGCTTCATCACATCTTCTCTTGTCTTGCCTGCATCCCAATCTGTCCCGCCCCAACTGCCCAGTTCCACAGCCCCTCATCTTACCATGCCCTGCTGCCACCCGTCTCACTAAAAAATGTTTACTTTCACTAATTATGGGTTTCGATCCTCTAACACTCGGTCTATTTCACACACTTTCAATTGCTGGTAGTAACTTCAGAAACAACTACACAACATATTAAAATTGTAAATGAATTCAAAAAATTAAAAAAGAATTATAAAATTTGTTGGGGTAACTGAGAAAATCCTGTTGGTAGTTGAAGAGTTAAACATTTATCACACAAAACCATACTTTTAAATGTAAGTTGCATCATGAAGAATATTAAATTAAGACATCACTATTGTTTTTGCCTGCAATTGAAACAATACACAGTTTCCACAAAATGTCCATTCTCAAAAACAATTAATCAAGTAAGTGGATTTTATTCTTTTTCACATTTAACCCTAAAAATAATAGGAATATGGACACGTCAATCGATTTACAATTAAAACAAAGTGTACGGATGCAGCACAGAGGATAACTAGCAGCAATAAGAGATCTCTATTGGAAAAATAAGGATTGACAGGTGATATTAACCACAAATTCAGAATAAATTTAAACTTGCTTCAAATAATATTTACAAGATGCAACGAATGTTCTCCACAGAATTCCTGAGTAGCCTATATCATTTCTTCGCTCAGAAATTGTAATGTTAGCCGTTTAGAGTAAGTAATCTAAGGTTCCTGTGACACCTATCAGCGCCATTGTCTGTTCAGCCAATTTTAGAATAACTAAAACAGAGAAGAGTTTCAAGGTAAAGAACACTCCAAACCAAAAGTTTGCAAAGCTGAATTCACTTGAACGAATAGAAGAAGCCTTGATTACATCAGCAACGTATCCAACAGCTAGACTTATTCATCCGAACTGGTTTTATCACATTTTTTATATAACTATTCTTTAATTCGGGGGCATTTTATTGATAATTTGGCTGTGTTTAAGCCAACAAAATTTGTCCCCTAGTCATAATTATTACAAACATCTAACAGAGAAAAAAAATTATCTATCATCTAGAGATATATGAAGCCCAGCGCGCCAGCCACTACGGCATTTGCCACAATACCCATTGAATCCATGAAGTCAGCTATTAGTTCCTATTATTCTGCAGAAGACTGAATTCACCCTAGCTATACAGCCAGTAACGGAAATTCACCACTATCTGGACTTTAACGCCAAGGCTTCTCAGTCAAAGCAACACCAACTGCTGTTGCCCTGACCCGTTTCAGTTTCACCACAAATGCAGTAGCCAGATAAAGCCTGGTACATTGCAATGGGGTCACCTTCAAAAGAGCAGTTGTAGACAATGCAAGGTTTATGCCTTCTGCTATGTACAGGCATAGTAGGGAGAAAGGAGAGGGAGAGGAGAATAAAAGGGAGAAAGGATCTCTCTTTTGAGAACCATCAGGCTGAGCTAGTGACTGCAAGTTTTGTTTGCCAGGTGGGAGCATAACTGAGCTGTGACTGACAGCTGGTTAACCAACAACTTTGTAGTTTACCAAAATCTATCCTTAGTACATATTAGTACAAACTTATTAAAACCTTGAATTGATTTCCAACATGGAGCAACTAGGAAAACAAATTAGTTGGAAAGATGCACTTGCTCTGAGTACCATTTACATTAATACATCTCTGGTTTAAGAACAAAAAGCATAGCATCAATTCCTATTGGCATCAAGAGAACCCACTGATTCATAGCAGAGTGAACCCATCATATTTGCAGCCTACGTCAGGTAAAGTCTATGTGCAATACCACCTGCAAAATGCAATTGTATTATTTTCTTATCACATAGTATGAATGCATTGACAAATGATCTCAATAAAGCAATAAATTTATAGAAATAAACAAAGGAGTCAAACAAGGCTGCCCATATTTGCCATCACTAGTATACATATGTATATATGTATGTATCATATGCATGTTTACCTTATACATATTATGCTACACCCAGCATTTTAATAGATGAAAGATTTTCTCACAAGTATGGATTCGTTCTATGTCCTGGTTTGAACATAGTTGTCAAGTATCCTATTCTGATCACATTAGGACATGCATTAGCTCTGATACTGTCTTGGGAGAAATTTGATTTACTTGTCAGAAATATTATCAGCTGATATTTCACAATTGCATCAGCAAATATGCAGCAATAGACGCGCTTAATACTTGGTGTGGCGAGTTGCAACTAAGTTCCTGTTCAGGGGCGCTTCGGTTATCCAAAAAGCATAAATCAACAACAAATCCTTCCAATTTAATTCAAATCACTCTCTAAACACTCCCAAAACTGACAAAATGAAAGTGAAAATTTCAGCAAAATCAGTTGAGTAGTTTCTGTATGCGAGAGACATTCGCACATTCCCTTTTATTTACATATACAGGGGGAGATGGTTCAGCCATGGCAAGAACTGAATTTTAAAATACATGACAAATCTCTAAATACTATATTGATTGCTGATGACCAAGTAATGTGTAGCAACTCAGAAAATGAATTACAAATTCGAACACACAAATTAAACAAACAGGCAACCAAATATAATTTGCTTTGCTGGTGAAGAACGTGTAGCTTGTCTCACTTCAAGTAAACTAGGAGTGCTACAGAATGGCACACTCTCACACTAATTGACATTATAATATCTTTGGTCTGGCTTATCTTTTCAGTTTTGCTGCACCCTCTTCACAGCTGCACTCAAAACTCTCCCTAATAGACATTTTTTTCACATTACCTCAATTTTCTGTCTTTTAATGGTAAAACTGGTACATAACTTCAAGAATATTTCAGAAGGGTCCTACAAGAATTTTTTTGTTGAAAAATAAGAAGCAATTTTTGAAAAACATGTGCAACATTTCTGAGAATGCACATTTGTGAGCTCATTTCCAGTGAAAATTTTGAAGTTTTTGTGAAACACTATTGGCGATCATTTCGGACACGAATGCAATAATGTACAAAAAAACATTCATTACAAGAATATGAATGATGTGTGATATGTTAAAAACAGCTTCATTTGTGAAACACCAAAAAAATCAAAAGAAGAAATGAAAAGGTAGCAATGTTCAACACATTTAGTTCTATCCAAACAATAGTTAAAGAAAAAATTTGAAGTTTTTGAGAGTGGTGCCAGAATGGTGGAGAAGGGTGCTCCCGGTGAAGACTGAACACAAGCAGGAATTGTGATCACCCGAATACAACCATGAAAATAATACAAGTGAATTGAGATCCAATATAGGCTGCAGGGACAAAGTCACAGCATTGGCAGGAGTTGGATTTAAAGTATAAGCATCAATATCAGGTATCAGATATCACTCCAGAATCTCTAAGAAGTGAAATCAAAAGAATAAAAATCATTTTGAGAAACCCAAAAGCTCAAACACTTAATCGCAACCATTATCTTTTAATATGTAGCACAATAAATGCTGCAAATAAGGAAACTTTGGTTACAACACGAGACAAAAAATTACCAAAGAAATAAAAAGACCATTTTCATGTACAAACTTTATTAACCTTCACATTACAGCAGTATGTGAACAAAAGTTGTTCAAGGCCAGTTGTTACTGCCTCCCCACTCAGTAGTCGTGGTTGGTCCAGGTGCCCAATCATCACCCACCTGAAAAGGAACAAACCTGTAGTATTGTATTCCTTGTCAAGCTTGTGGAGATTAATGTAAAACATAAAAGAAAAGGAGATTTTACCCATCTTCTGGTTATGAGCGGAGCATTATATTCAATAGTTCTAAATCACCCCCTCCACTAAGCATTACCAACCTAAGCATTACAACCAATACAGGTCGCAAGGATGAAATTGCATCAAGTAAATGAAATAAGATGGGTTTATGCAAATTCATTTCAGAAGTAGCACACCATTTAACAATGTTTCTGTGGACCCCAGTTATAGGCTCTATGACATGAAAGAAGTGATTCACCGTCACATGAACGACATAATGACAAAAACTACTAAAATATTGCACACAACTACAAAAATAGTTTTTGGCATGGTGATCGCTCTAAAAGATTTGGAACAGTTAAAATTCCCAATAGAGATTGGTGGATTAGGAACAATTTTGAACTGGACAGTGTACAAAAATTAAAAAAACATTAAATTTTATCAAAACCATAAGGTTAAGTTGGCTTGATCTTAAAAGGATGACAATAGTGAACAAGATCTTTAGTTGGAATCCAGTGAGCACCAAGAGAAGAGGATTGAATTGAATTGAATTGAATTTGCCTTATTTTACGTGGCGAGATGGTCTAAAAATAGATGGAAAGATGATGTCAAAGACATCAGAAAAATGAAGATTGAAAACTGGATAGAGCACTAAGAATAGGGAAAATGGAAAAGGATAATTGAGCAGGCACATTCATTTGAAGTCTTAGAAGAAGATTGCTATTAACCGTCTCCCTCCATTATGTCCAGAGTTGATTTTCTGGCATGAAAACATTCCAAAGGAATATTTTGCCGCGAGTCTCACAGACAGAAAGGGCACTGAATTTCCATTGGAACAAGGTTTAGTTTTACCATCCAGTCATCGGCAATCTGTTCCGTCAAGGCAATCGCTGATAGCTGCATTAAATTGAACCTAAGCAACTTCAAAACCCAAATATGCACTAACTAGAAAAGTAAAACCAGCAAAAAATACCAATTGCAGACTAACATGGTAAAACAACAAGTGAATTCTGTCGGTATCCAACTTATTTTGCAAATAGTAGGGGTAATTTATTAAGTGAATGCTGCTCCACTCAAAACCAGCAGGTTGCTAGAATACCCAAAGAAACTTCACATACTAAAACAGACAGAAACTTCACACACACAGAAAAACTGAGCTTCAATAATCAAGATTGCTCAGTCAAGAATTTCCACACAACCTAGCATACTTTATAATAAAAAAACAATATGGAAACTAATAAACCTCAAGGACTCAATGACATTATCAAACTTTCTTCTAAAAGAATCAGGAAAAACAAATAAAATCAAAGAAACTAGGAAAATCAGACGCACTTTAAGTTCTTTTTATAAAATCTCATTGAATAACATGTGAAATTCATCCAACTAAAAACTAATTTTTCATACTGAATTCTAGTGCAATGCCATATAAAAGAAAGGTACCATGGCATACCTGGTTGGCCCAATCATCAGACGCATTGAAGGCAGCAGGAGCAGCGGCAGCAGCAGCGGCAGCAGTAGGTGCAGCAGCAGCCCCCGCAGCAGGAGCAACAGCTGGGGCACCCGGAACGGGAGTTACACCTGGCACAGCAGCAGCCGCAGCTGGCACAGCAGGAGTTTCAGCATCCCAGTTGGTAGAGGCTTCCGGTGCTGCTGGTACATCGCTAGCCCATACTTCCGATGGCTGTGTAAACTCTGGAATTTCCGTTTTGATTGGCACAGCCAGAACCTCCTTTGTTGCTTGCTCCTCTTTCTCAGCCTACAAAAAGAGAATATTCGATTAATAGTTCATAGAATAGTAAAAAAAATAATAAAAAATAAAAAAAGGAGGCTCTTATTCTTTATTGTGCAGAGTGAAGGAATCAATTACCATGAGAACATAAGAAAATGTCAGTACAAACCCAAACAAAACAATATCTTATTGGGTACTTTTAGGGTATACTTGACACCTCGCAATGCACGACCAAGTTTATGACAAAACTCCAGCCTTTCACCTCCACAGTTAAAATACATCAAACTAGGCTCTATGCAAAGCATACTTTCCCACACATATGCCCAAATATTTTGTGTTCTCATATGGCAATGTCATTAGTTAACAACAAAGCTAAAGAATAAGAGCCCAAAAAAATTCATAAACAAAGGTTTAAATATAATATTAAGAAAATCTTTTTGCTCTACAAGCCACCCTTAGTTACACATTCTGTAATTCATCCCCCTTATCTCATCCTGAAACATTAATATCCCAACACCATCATCAAAGGCCAACTTGTAAGAATTATAATTAAGATTCATATTATACAACCTGTTATAAAAACTAATTAATTCTTAACTTTCTCAAATTTCACAAATTTGTAGCAAAATACACAAAAATAACGAAAACTGCATACCTCCTCTGGATCACGATAAAAGAACAAATCAACAACAACATCCCATTTTGCTTCTCTGATAATTGCCCCTCTTAATCGCAGAATTTCTCTGGCCAGAAGCCACCACATCAAGCCAATGGAATGGGCACTCTGGAACAAGTAGTTGAATTTATACATATCTCATTCAAAAGTGAACAATAAGCTATTAAACAATCAATAAACTACATACCTTATTATTGCAAGGAATGGCAATATCAACAAAACGAAGTGGAGCATCAGTATTGCAAAAGGCAATCACAGGGATATTCACATATGATGCTTCCGTAATTGGTTGGTGATCTTGCTGAGGATCTGTCACAATCACTAAACGAGGCTCACGGAAAGCAGCCTATAAGGAATTAACAAGCTATAAATCTTCAGTAAACTTAAAGATTTTAGTTGTTGCTTAACACATTCATCAATCTTGACAAGACTTGCTAAAATATTGAACAATTGTAACTATTCTTTAATGTGCAAAAGCTAAAAAACATTTTGCTCCTAAGATTGCCACTAACACAAATGACAAAATAATGTACTTCAAAGCTTCACACACCTTAACCAGGCACATTTAAGTTTGCATTTGAATCAAAACTTTCTTAAATTATCTCATTACTAAAACCAACAAAACAGCTTAAATACCCTGTAACGCCGCTCAAATATTTTTAAAACAATATGTTCAATTTCTAAGCTATTCCATTAAATTACACATGTGCTCGTCTTTATTACCATTTCAAAAAACTAACCCAAATTCCATTTCCACACTTTTAAAGTACAAACATTTTAGTGATCAGATTCTACAAAACTTACTCCATTTCTAACACTTATTTAATGCTTTAAAAAGTCCTTTGGTAAATTAAGTGTGTACCTGGATTTGATTGGTAAAGGCACCAGGAGTAAAACGGCCGGCAATTGGTGTAGCACCGGTATGCGCAGCAAACTTCAGAACTGCTCTCTGACCATAAGGGCGAGATGATATCACGAACACTTCTGCAGGATGTTCAATTGCTACAACAGCTCTAGCAGCCAGCAAGAGCTTTTCCCAGGTGCGTCGGAGATTGATAATATGGACTCCTATGAAAAATTAAAAAATGAAAGTAATAAATAGGAACACACACTCCCACAGAAAGAACCTACTTGTTGAAGTTTCCTTACCATCAGAACGTCTTTGGTACACATACTGCTCCATCTGGAAATTAACATTATCAGTCCCCAGATGGGTAAATGCAGCCAACATCTTAGTCACATCATCTTCCTTCAAACTTAAAATGTCTGATCCTCCCGACATCTCGGCGTTTTAGAGCAACGATAACCTGCAATAAACACAAGAAAGATTTTGCTTTATATGATAAAATAAAATGAACGTGACCGGCAACAAACACTCCCACGTGCTTCATGACTAACAAAAGTAGTTACGTTTCAGACAACTTTGTAACTTACAAGTTACGTGCAATATTACTGGTTAGTAAGGTGGTACTGGTATAAAAAAAGTATTTAACTGAATTTCCTAAAGAAACATTTAGGATAAATACGAAGACATAACTTACGCGTGTGGATGCCACTGGGAGAGTTCCTTACGGAAAAGGAATACACGTAGTTAATCAAATTACTGGCCGTAACTTTGCGACTCAAATAACTCAATAACTCACTAATTTCTTTTAGGTATTAAAAATATTATTTTTACAGAAGCAATTATTATTATTATTTTAATTCCCTTTCCTTTAATGTTTTATCTTTCACGTCCAAAAGTTGATTTGACTTTAAAAAAACCATGTTTCATTTACATTCCATGGTAGCGTGTGATTGGTTGCCAGTGACAGTCAGCGACATGGGAATTTTCAAAACACAGCAACACCAAATACGATTCTCTAAATTGATTTATATTGGTAACTCTTTTGATTTCATGTAGCAAGGGCCAATCTTTCGGCATGTGTGTGTGTTTTTAGAAGAATCCTGTATTGTCCATGATCAACTTCAAAATTGAGGGCGGTTTTTCGATAGAAAACGAAGAAAAACTTGTATTGTAGGGGCCCTAATACTGAAAAAGTGTATAAATAGTGTACTTTCATGAGCCATTCCGCGTCAATTCACCCAACAGTTTACACAACACTATTTTTAAATGTAATTTTTTTCTTAAATCTGGGCATCGGTGTCTGTCGCTGAAGAAAATGTCAGATCGCGACTCTGCCGCATGGGAGCCTTACCGCGGCTCTTCCCAATATTCCAACGAGCTAGAATATTTTACATAGAGTGGCTGAGGCGCCTCCATTTTTGAAGCGAATTGAAGCCACGTTTTTTGTATTCAAAGCAGCGCCCTCTGGGAAACAAAGTATTCTAGCATTATGTTTGGCGCTGGTTATGGACGCTAGTTACGGACACGGTGTACGATATATTTCTTACACCGTGTTACAATAATAGCCCAGATAATTGTTACACCGCCACTCGTATATTTTGACTTCAAAAAACATGGCGGCCACTAGTTCGGCGAGCCTTCACCAAGAGCGTTGAAACTAGTATAGGGACAGCCACTCTACGTAGTACATTCTAGCTCGTAATATTCACAAATAAAATGTTCAAGAGCTGATTTAGTTACTATCTATTTTCAGAGTGCCCAGAACCCTGGGACCTCTGGCGATTGCCCATAACGGCCATACTTAAAGCAGGGAGGGGGCATGGGGACCACGTTCCCCCAAAAGTCCTAGAGTTTTCCGTTGTCACCTACCTTTATTTTGCAAAATTGATTTAAATATTTGAGAGAATTATGTAATTATTTAAAAAATAATATTGTGTAGAAACATGTATACATTCATAAAAATAATATGCAGTATAATAACAAATATGTTTCTTCTTTTCCTTCATGATGAGCCACAGAAGGCCCTTTCCAACTCAAAGGTCATCCTGCCATCTTCTTCTTGGGTGTCCTACATCCCGATATCCGAAGGGACATTTGAACGATTGAACATTTTTGGAGTGGACTTTATCTCTACGTTTGGAACTTGATTTGCCGGAGTATATCCAGCTACTTCTCAGGAAGCGCATTTCTGAGGGTTCAATTCTCCGCTTCTCTGCTCTGTCCATGCCCAATTCTCACAACCATACATCAAGACTGAACTGCCATGGATTTATAACGTTTTAACATTGTGTCTCTACTTACTTTGCTTTTTAAAATCCTTTTTAATATGTTCTACAAATATGTTGAAATTCGTATAATGGTTGTTCTTGATCGATGTCATTTAAGAAGAAAACAGAACAGCCGAGATAATTGTTTAAATATGTTTATTACTAAACAAACATCTATGATGCCCCCTCCCCAAATGGTCGGCTGGATCCACCCCTGGCTTAAGATATCGACTAGTTTCCGACACACTTCAATGTAATGCTTTGCAAACGAGCAATGAGGCAAGATACACGTAGTTTGTCCTTTCCACGAACGCTTGGGAAGTGCGAGTGGAGTATTCACATAGCAACGGCCCGTTATTTGGTCACCGCACAAACTTTCCGTTGCTTATATTATTAAATTCTCTCAATTGAATGTGCAAATGCCGTGCGTCATTGCACTTGATTTTAAACTGCGAGGATTTATTGTTTGACTGTTGATATATCTCAAAAAGAGGGAGCACTGTCGAATGTAAATAACTTGGATGACTTTTTTAACAGTAAGAAAGTATAAAGTTCAATTCAATAAAATATGTCAGAATATCTGTCGAATATTGGCATTATCAATAATCCTTTTTATGAAAAGATATTATGTAAGAAAGGTGTCGATGAATAACTTAACATATTTGCGTCAAGTAGAGATAATACTCGTACGCACATCAACCCACAGTTTTTAAATCTACAGATTCATGTTTTTATATTTTCATAAATATTCCTTGGCAAAGTAATTTATCTCGAAGGATCATTGTTGGCGCGCTAAGGATCGTCGACCATTGCTGCCAACTGCTTAACAATTCTCGTAGTTTGTTTCAAGGACATATATCAAAATCTGAATTTCATGATCTCATAAAAATTCATATATCTGACCGTACAAAAGTATAAATCAATGAATAAAATTATTTTTCGTACTGCTCTAATAGTATAATAAGGGTACATTTAATACTAGGCGGGACAGTTTTATTATTTGGGTGAGCAGCGCATCAAAATAAAATTGGAACTGAAATAAGACCTGCAGCTGCTTCAAATACATCGAAACGGAAATAGCAAGCTGTTTCAACAGTCATTACGGAGCTCATCATTATTCCAATTCGCGGTTAAAGTTTCAGGATTTAGAAAATTTTGCCTGTAACAAAATAACACCAAATCATTGATCACGACGTTAGTAGACGAGTCAGGATGGTATACTAGTCAGGGGCCTATTAAAGCATTCTTATTACAAAACATCGCTACGTGTAAACAAATTTGCATGGGAAGAACCCTTGCCTCCAGGATCTAAATACACACTTGAAATTCTCTCTGATGACTCATGCTGGCGGAGTCACAGGATTTCCCTGTAAGCAGCAATATCTTATCACTTGGAGACCCCCCCCCCCATCTCTTGAACGTGCGGTACTCGAGAAGTATATACTGGGAATCTGATGCGGAAGTATTTTTTGTAACTTCCTCAAGGGGAAAAAAGGGGCCAAATACAAGCATATATCATTTTATTATAAGTGGATATGTACATCATAGGTGGTATACTGTGATTGTAATGAGATTATCACATTGTCCTTCTAAAAAATTTCTCAGATATTCTCTTGTAGAATGGCAATTTCTACAAGATACAATTTAATCACAAACACTGGAAGTAATGGTTAATGCTATATCATACACAAATAACTCAGGAGCTTACACTTAAGCAGCCTATTTTTAAGTTTATATTAAATTCATAACACAATAACTTTTTTAGAGAACCATAGATGCAATGCACAGAATCACCTACTTGCAATGATATATTAAAAATCATTACTCATTATAAAGTACATAATTTATGATCAAATCAAATTTCTAAAAGTCACTGTCAGATTAATAGGACAGTTGTTCCTATTACCACAAAGTACGCAAAGTACATGACATTAAAAGTCAAAGATGTAGCAAAAATATTGTACATCATTTTTTTCTCTTCTTCCAACTGTGAGTGACATACCCAATACAATATTCACATTTAGTTAACAAATACAATGCAATTCACATCACAATCTCAAGTAGAAAACCATGCACGGCACAGTAGCACACGTACAGCACATCACACAAGCCTGGGCTTTCGCTGACATATCTCCATAAATTACACCAGGTAGCAACCAGCAGCACCTTTCATGTCAAATGTGTGTGCCACTGGAATTGCTCATTGCAAAACAAGCTCTTGCTCAACTATGTGTTGAAACAAATGTCAATAAAAAGGTAGCACTTAAGTATCTGTCAACTCCATATTCACAAATTATACATTTCAACACACAACTAACAATCATAATGTACAGAAAGAAAATACAGCAATATCTCTACAATAGGACTTGTCACCTAGCAGGAAACTAACACCAAAGAATGAGAGGAGTAAGTGTAGCGATCACAAATGTTATGTTTCAAAACAAATTAAAATGCATTAACAGAGAGTTCTAGAACTACCGAATGCAAATACTAAATGGTCATCAGTTCACAACCAAGTTAGAATGGGGCTGGAAAAAACAAAGAATTATCTTTCGCACTGGAGATACGTGTGAATTACTGAAGAATAAAAGGAAATTCCAGTCTTCAATACAACTCAAATGAAAAATAATTACTATGCAGATCTAGACATCACACAATCCTAAGACACTTTCTGGCCCAAAAAGCCAAAAAATGAGGCTCTAATAAAGTTTGTTACCCCATTCCAACAAGGTTCCACAGCTCCATCTCACTTTCTCACATTTGAAAGGAGATATTGTATAACATAAATTTTAGGAAGTCAAGGGTTATTACATAAACATAGGTCAAGTGTCTCTCAGGCTTTCAATAATTAGCTAGCAAGGAACATCGCATTCAAAATACACAAAAACTCATTATTACATATTCATTAGGTTAAAGAAAACTATGATTAAGGCCTCAAACTGGTTCCTCCACTCACTGGTCAAACCTGACTGTTTATTGGTAGAGATTATCATAAAAAATTGGCAACAATTAACGAGTCTGTAGATGAAAGCAACACATTTGAAGTTAGTTAATAGGCCCGCATACAACACAACAGTAACTCTTCTGGGAAGGGCCTTGTTGAGAATAGTCCCTAAAAATTTTCACCTGCTGTTGAAAAAAAACTGGAGCAGACAACATACTGCACAATACCACTCATTCCGAGTACTTAGTATGCATGAAATTGAACTTTCTACTCCAAATGGTTTCTCGAGAAATAATACGTAGGATTACATGCATGAACATTTCATGCATGAAGAGCTTCACTGAAAAGGAGTAACAACAGGTGTATGTTCTTGAACAGTCAACAAATGCAATTATTTTGTCCACTTAAATTAAATAAGCTTTAGGTATAAAAAAATTTTGAAATAAAAATTGCAAATAAACCTAAAAATGCATCAAATCCATGGCAGTTAAGGGAGATGACTGTAACTTAAAGGTCTAGGAGTGGTAAGGTGTGACGTAGGTTGCAGGAAATAGCCCTTTACGAGCTCCTATTTCTCCATGCCACCAATGTTGGTCACTCCGATCCGTTACTGTGATGACATCTCCACGTCGGAATTCCAATTCTCCAGGTTCCTGAGGAGTGAAGTCATAAAGGGCTTGCACTAAAAACTGAAAAAATAATTAAACAAATCACTTTTAGTAAACATATAGGTTAACTTGTAACATGAACAAATGTTTCCAAGAAACAGAAAATGAACATACTTCCTCAGGCACCATGTCACGCAATTTAACATCTTGTGATCGAGACACTGATGAAGTGCGATGGTATTCCACTAACTCATTCAAACTTGTGAACTTGACAACCCACAAGAAAAATTTCCCTTGTGGATCTCGCAACACTTTAAAATGTTGGACACCATCTGAACATCTGTTGAAACGGAAATTTTAAGACTAAATTTCCTTACTGAATCATAGCAAAAGACTATGTAAATTAACACAACTTAGTTAAAATTGTTTTTATAAAAGTGCTTGGACAAAAAAAAAGTCACTCTAAAGCTACCAAGAATATTTAGAAAATAAATTCAGAAACACTGAAGGATTGAAGATTACTTCAAATCGTCAAGTAACTTTAACATTACTACATCACTTGAACTTTATATGTTATTATTTATGTCTGTTAAAATAATTTCCATACATGAACTTATACTTTTTCTCCTACATACCACAACCTAAAATTAAGATCTTACAGTTTAAAGCGTCTATTAAGAAAAATAACTTACTTAACTGACAAGGAAAAATCACCCGGAGAACTTTCACTAACACGTATAAGAAATGCGCCCTCATGTTTATTGAGGAGTAATTTTTCAGCATCCGCTCGAGTGATGCGTCCATAATACCAACTGTAAGAAAAGAGTGGAATTTCAGTGAACAAATTATCAGTCAATGTTTCTTCTTTTGAAATTATTTAGTGGAAACCTTTGTAATATTTACTCTTTAGTTAATAAATTATCATTCAACACTGCTCATTTCATGAAACACACAACTGTATTCAATGAAAATTCAATGCCAAATATTTAGTACAAATATTAAAATACAATCAATAATAAGATTTTTTATTCTAGTTAATAATACAACATGAAATATCAAAGCACAGTAGCAGATAAAATTAATAACCGAAGAGTTAACAGAAACTAGATTGTAATTACAAAGATTTTTTTTCAAACCGCATTTAGTTCATTTTAATTAAAACTTGTAGTATATGAATAAAAAAATTAAATGTAACAATAATAAAAATAGTATTAATAATAATAATAATAATAATAATAATAATAATAATAATAATGGTCAAAATTAATGTCTAACTTGATATGTCATGATCTTTGGTCATTAAAGATTTTACAAGAAATTACAAGAATCTTGCGAGAGATGTTGTGGACATCAATTCAGATTTGGACTTAAAAAGTTTTGGGTAAAAATCAAATTTTCCAAAAGAAGTGTTATGATTGAAAATTAAGTTTGCCAGAATCATTACAAATTAAATGTACTAACTGAAAATATCCCCTCATCCTAAGACTTTTATCCACAAAATCACTAGAGGAAAATAAGAAGAATTAGCATTAAAATGTTTTTGCAATTACAGAAAATGTCAGTGAACTGACAGATCTGTTCTTTTCAAGGTATGGGGAAACTAACTTCAATTTCAAAACAGAAATATTCAAACATTCGTTTTCAGAAAAACTGAGATAACAGATAACCACAAATATTTTAATATGAAAAAAAAAATCACTATTTATTGATTGAGCTCATTAGAACGCATTGTCTACTTTAGATGTATTTGACACAATATATTTAAAAACTATATAATTATTAGTCAATTAAAAATACCAACTCTGCCAAAAGCTTTTGTTCAAGCATAAATACCAAGAATGAACAAAAAAACAAAGAGATCACTCTAATATGTATTTTCATGTTGTTAGACTTTCTATATTTACAAGAAAAAAATATAATCAGTTTTTTTATTACCAACTTTTTAAAAACAATTAAAATAAAAATATTAGATTACTTCAAAATTAAACAGTTGTCACATATTCATTATTAGTAGCCTACAAACTTGCTAAAAGTATTATCAAATTAACTCACCCATGACTTTTCATCTCAATATAGTTGCTAGGAATTAAACCTTCTTTACCATCCAATTCTGCTCTGTACCAATTCATGTCATCTTCCATATTAAGAATCTGTAGATGCCAAGAGAAAGACAATGTCAAGTTTTCGAAAACATAATTTGAATTGATATAAAACTATAAATAGACACAAATCACTACCAAATCCATTCGATGCTGCATCGATCTAAGTAATTTGGAAGTCTCATTCACAATTTGAAAAGTTATGTAAAATACAAACCTTCAACACTTGACTTTTCCTGAAACTCAATTCATCATCGGCCGTCGCGTTAAAATCGTGTTTCGCAATGGCTTCCATAGTTCAAAACACTTGGCGAGTCTCAATATCGTCAATATTCTCTAATAATATCCAAATAAACCCCAAGTCCATACACACAGGTTAAACTTTCATCGAAGCGCTTTCAATGATACGTTCCGTAATAAAGACTTGAACAATAAACTTAAGCCGCAAGAACACGGCGACGTTTTAATTCTTCACTCAGTATCAGCGTCAACACTTAAAGCAAACAAACATTGTTCGAGATTTTCTCCCCCTAGTTCTTCCAGTTCTTCACACCTTAGTAAATCACAGTATCTCTCACAGCACACTCCCACTTGCTTCCATTAATGTTCCATTCCCGATTCCCATAGAGCGCTGAGGCTCACGAGTGGGATCAATCCGCGGACGACGAAGGACTCCAATCACTTGCCAGGAAACACAACGCCCTACCAGTCTCGGAAACTACGCAACTGCTACGTCAATGTAGCATACTAATGAATAGACTTGATTTTTAGACACCAAAATATTTAGAGCTATTTTCTAAAGTGTCTAATATCTCTGGCGTAAGCACATTCGCCTCTCTTGCGAGGAAACGGAAACTCTTCTTTTTATTTCCACCTTGTAGAAATGGTGACAAATGAGTAACGCGTTCCGTGTGACCTTTTTTTGGTATTCATTGATATCAGCGAAGGTCACGATTTTATATAGCAATGGTAAGGTGGTGTTTGCGTGCGGTGTGTAATGTGGATTATGTGGGCCACGCGCAGAACGTGAAGCTAAAATTAACCTTCGGATTTGTATTCGGTGAACCCGAGCAATGAATCAGCTGATTTGTCATGAACGGTGCAGATAACCTGGATTAGTTCAGTCAATGCATTTCTATCTTTTAGGTTTGAGTTATCAATGCCACAACAATTAGCAATCGTTCGAATATGGTACCTCCGCCTGTTCTTCCACCACCCAAGAATGGTTATGCGGACGCATTTTGGTGCACCTATCTTGTTTCGGTTGCTGCTGCCAGTGTAGCTGAAGTAGGTAGGTGTTGGTGATATCTATTACTATGTATATACATTAAATCCACGCCAAGCTTTTGACATAAAAGGCGGTAGTTCATTTTGTTACTATTATAGCAGGCATTTCTGTACGTTACGTAAACACTGCATATGCAACGATTGCCCAATAACCTATACGTGGACTCGATTGTGCCATTGGAGGCGGCAGATATTCGTTCGAATTTCCTTCGAAGTGTAGGACGTCGCGAGCGAGCCACCCGGCCGTCGTATTCTGGGGCAATGCCTGGGGGGTTAGCTCACGCACCGATGCGTGCCCGGCGCGGGGGCGACGGGAGCGACGGCCGCGACGGCCGCCCGCCGTGACGCGCGCGTGTTCTGTCACAGTCACGTATCCTCTGGACCTGACCAAGACTCGGCTGCAGATCCAGGGGGAGCGAGCTGCGCTGGTGGCGGCCGGGCCGGCGGGCGAGGCTTCCAAGGTAAGGGCCGTCGCGGGGCACCGTCGCCGGCCCCTGGACCCCGCCGCCACTCCAAGTCTGTGCGCAGGGGGCGTACCGCGGGATGCTGCGGACGGCCGCCGGCATCGCCAGAGAAGAAGGCCCCCTGTGTCTGTGGAGAGGAGTCACGCCCGCCATCTACCGGCATGTGGTTTATTCTGGCATCCGCATTGTGACGTATGAGCAGCTGAGGGACGGCGTCTTCAAGCGGGAACCAGGAGGTGCCTTTCCGGTGTGGTAAGAATGCTGATACTGCACCTCGGCTTCTGAGTCTCCTTTGGCTGAGGAGATGTCATCTCGAATGTTGCATACAGCCCAGATATGCGGGTTTTCTAATAGAACCGCCCCAGCTTATCAGTCAAATGTCCTTTAAATCTATAACTCATTTTTTCTACAACTGTTTTCTTTCATTCATATTATTTAAATGTTAAGTTAATTATTAATTGTATTTCATTTAAAGGTAAAGTTTATTATATTAAATGTAAAGTTTATTTCCACTCATGCCCCCTACAGTTTTGCTTGCCCTTTAAACTCGTGCATCCCGAACACTACAGCGTCTGATTGGTAATCGGCTGTCGAGTCAAGGTCGTTCTTTGAGACATCCCGGAACGTAGGCCTGGTAGAGGCCCGTAGCAGGTTAGCAATGTCAGTGGTTAATTTTAACGTGATAATTACGTTTTGACACTGCAGTAAGTGGGCATCATGGCACAAATTCTCTCCTTTGACATCAAGTATGTAGCAAACCGAGTTTCGCAGATCATGTGAGGATTGGTATCTTTATATATTAGCTGCGAAAAGGCAACAGAACAGTGCTAATCTCGTACGTAAGCTCCTAGAGATATGGCGTCTTAATGTTGAACTTTGGAGAGATGTAAACATACCTACGTTGAATAACAACTTAAGACACTGAGATCCAAACAAGTATCAGGGCGCTGGAGATCGATTTGCGACGGAATCGAGTCCCGCCCCAGGCATGGTTGTATTGTTCGTCCTTTCACCCTCTATCATATCCTGAACACTGAGGGCTGCAAACCAGCGCAGGTTGGTTCCAAAAAAGTCATTATATTGATCCATTGTGGCAAAAGATCCCAAATTACACAACCTTCAACACCGCTGGCGGGGTACAGAAGAAAAACAGGCGGTGAGACGGTTGGATTCATGTGAAAACAGGCTAACCACGCGATGAAGACCCCTGGTGAACTGGAGTGCCCGATTTTTGTAACACACGTTTGTATTACTTCATTAATATATAAACATATGTTAACGTTATATTTTTAAATTGAAAAGGTACAGATTATTTCCGTGTTAATTTTGATGTCATGCAGCTTACATTTCTATACTATTAGGGGGGGCCGTACCGATCGGGCATGCATCGACCCTCAGTAGATAAGTAGTTAAAGTCAGTTGTGAGAGAAGGGTATGATTCAGAGGTGTCAGCGTGAATTCAATGGGCCCCCTCCTCAGGTGACCCCTTCCTGACTCCATCACTTGCGGGGGATGCAGTGGCAGCCGTGAATTCCAAAACGGCGCAAGTCTACGAAACCGGATGGCCGTTGCCGTAGCGATCTCGGACCAAAGGATCACGGGTTCGAGTCCCGCCTCGGGCATGGTTGTATTGTGTTCGTCCTTTCACCCCCTATCATATCGTGTCGTCAACACAGTTACCTAATGTCCTAGATGTTAATGAGACTTCAAATAACAAAAAAATGTTGTTTTTTTTTTGAAATAGTTATATTTTAATATATTTAAGCATTCTAAAGACATTTCTTTGTTGATGTTTTCTTTTTCATGTAGGGAAATAAACATTTTTGAAAATGATAATTTCTTGCTGTTCTGAATATCATACCGGTAAAAGTGGCTCAGGGTTGCTGCTGATGTCATTGCTGTGCCTCGGGATCGGGAAGTCCTAGGGTTCGAGTCCCGACGGTGGCAGAATTTTGTGAAACGAGCTCTGGGTAGTTAGAATTCTGACGCTATCTGGTGAAGAATTATAGCGGCCGGCTGCTCTGACCTGTTTAGTTTTTCGGGTTTTCTCCGATCAACACCACGCGAATACCGGAGCAGTACTGTAACAACCGGACTATGGACCGCGCGCGATCATTTTTTGGGGGGGAGGGGGGATTATAGATCTTAATTAAATAATAAAAATTTGTGATTATATTGTATATTATTTTTGTAGTCTGTATATGATAGTATACAACATTATTTCTTAAATAATTTCATAATTCTAACATAAATATTTATATCAATCTTGCTAAATAAAGAACGGTAACAAACTAGGCTTTTGGGTGCTTTGGCCCCCATTGCCCCCCCCCCCTTCCTACTTGGCTCTGCCATTCATCGCTGCGTATCTCGCCAGGCAGCAGGAGAAAATCAATGCTACCTTCCATGGTACACACATGCCCTGCTCTTACAGGATTAATGACCCTAGCAGTCGACGCGCCCGGAATCAGTAATCAGTAGATCAACCATACAATGAAAGAACTGAATGTCGTGACAAGCTTATTCCGGTGATATCGACCGATAGTTGAGGCAATGACCGATGTGGGGACCTAACTGCAGTCTTCGCCGGGACGAACAGCGACCAAACTTGAAGGCCGGTAGAGGGCTTGCGGCGTCGTGGAGGGAGGCGTAACGTGCGCGCGCGGCGCTGTCGCAGGAAGTCGGCCATCAGCGGCGTCACGTCCGGGGCGCTGGCGCAGTTCGTGGCCAGCCCCACGGACCTGGTGAAGGTGCACGTGCAGATGGAGGGGCGGCGCCGCCTGCTGGGGCAGCCGCCCCGCGTGCGCGGCGCCTGGCACGCCTTCCGCAAGATCGTGGCCGAGGGCGGCGTGCGCGGCCTGTGGAAGGGCAGCATCCCCAACGTGCAGCGCGCCGCCCTCGTCAACCTGGGCGACCTCACCACCTACGACTCGGCCAAGCGCTTCATCCTCACGCACACCGCGCTGCCGGACTCGCACCTCACGCACATGCTGTCCAGGTGAGCGCCCCGCCCCGCCCACCCGGTCTTCACACAGTCGCCCTCGGACGGGGGCCCCCCAGAAGCCTCATGGCTTCTGGGAGCCCCCGGCCTGCCTTGGCAGGGGATATTTTTATTATTTAAGGCACTCACACTATTTGTGTTTGCTATGCACTTTTTTTAAAGGGGACCCGGAGAAATGTTTTGCGGGCGGGTCCGCACTCATTTCGTTACGCTATTCATCCTTGGGCCAACTAATAGGCGCGATGCTTAAAAGCGGCTGCCGAAATCGAACTGAAATGCAACGGTATACCTGATAAGCCAACTTAGATCTCTATTAGGCACTTCATGCATAGTAGTTTGTGATGTAATAGTTACCCCCGCCCTGCCACGAATCGTTCTCATTTTGTTCCGTGTTGCCTCTTGTTTAACTTCGGCTCGCCGTGCCCCACGTCGCCACACCTCCTCCAGAACCTAAGTTAAACAATTTTGGGTTTTCTTAGTTTTGATTTGTCATTTTCATGAGCGAAACAGCATCCATTAGAAGAATGAGTTCCCCTAAAAACGTATATTGCGTACGAAATGCGTTAACGCTCATGGTGAAGAAAAAAAAACGCTTTGCACGAGAATAGTGCAATCCCCTTCCCCTGAGACCAAGGCGTCGCGCCGCGTCGTTGCAGTGCGTGCGCCGGGCTGGTTGCCGCCACCATGGGCACCCCCGCCGACGTGGTGAAGACGCGCATCATGAACCAGCCCACCGACGCCAGCGGCCGGTGAGTGCACCCGACATCTTATACATGGGCAAGCGCGGCTCGCAAGCCTGGCTGGCGCTCCGGTCAGTAATCTGCCGCCGCTACCTGGTTCATAGTTTCCGCGACGGCGACGTCCGGTTGGCTACTGCTGCAAGCCAGGCTTACAAGCGGCGCTTAATTGTTAAGTGTTCACATTTGGGCAGATGGAATCTGTTAAGAGGATCCCGCCGTGTACAACGGGAGGATGGGGGGCCAGTCCCCCTCTGCTCCTCCTCCCCTACCTCCGACACCGCTGGCCATGATCCCAAGTTCCATTGTTCCACCTACCGGTTCAGGGCATCGACTGAGTCCCTCTGCAGTCCCTCTGACCGGGAAGTCCTAGGTTCGAGCCCGACGATGGCAGGACTTTCCGCATTGCCTTCTAGTAAAATTACTTATGTACTAACACATCTCTATCCTAAATGATGTATTGAAAATAAACATCTGCTCTTTTAAATTGTATAATGAATTAAATTGCTAAAGCGGACATTTAAAATAAAATAAAAAAAATAAAAATGTTCTGATCGATGCACAAGTATGGGTGGAAGTAGTACTATCAATTTGCACTCGTAGAAAATTAATTTTCAAGATCGAATATTTAAGGTTGGGTTTCATGAATGAAATACTTTTAAAAAAATATAAATATACACATTAATTTTTGTAATGTAACACACCTGTAATGTACCTTTAAATTCCCCCAAAATAATTACATAACACTTAAGAATCTCCCTCCCCTTACAAAAAATAAAAATGAAGTATACCAAAAAAAATCAATTTGTATTAATTTTATTTGTGCTATGTATTAAAATTTATGATAATAAAAGTTAGAATTAATTGGTGGTCCTACACGTAACAATAAGATTGGAAACAAATGTGTGAATGAAGGCCACACAAACATGAAAATTTCTTACAACCCATGCCCATGTCATCATGGATGACGCATGAGCAACAATCTATTGCACCATTTTAATTGAATTGTTGATTATGATAGATCAGTTTTAAATATGTTCTTCGTAATCTTACAGATTCAATAAAAAATTGTGAAAAAATACTTCCACTTATGGTTTTTAGAATAAACATGCATGCTTATTGTGATAAATTACACAATAAGTTTAATTTTTTGAGGTTTTTAAAAATGTAATAAATATTTTAATGTTGTGGTAAAAAGACAGAAAAAAGTAATTTTCACCAGTTATCTCCTAACACACCCTACCTTCAAGTAATGCAGCCTAACACTGCCTCAAATTCCATTAGCTCCTCTTTAGCATTACAGAATTTAGGGACAACCATATTATATTACGAGATGTTATTGATTTCAAAAATTACAGAAAATCTATTGATGATATAAAAGTTAAGATTGAGAATGTTTTGGCAAATTTCCTTTTTACTCTTTTTGATAGACCTTTTTACTCTTGTAAATTCTCAAAATTAATTATAAAAACATTTTATGACTTTAAAATATTAAGAAATTGCATTAATAATACCTAAAAATGGCTATTTCACGTTGGGAGCATAATATTGTTTGTTCAATATCCATTTGACAGAAGCATATTTTGTATTAAAACATTATGTATTGAAGTAAAGTACATTCTGTATTAAATAAAAATGCATTGTGCATTACTATGCACCAATAGAAAAAGATGCCTAATGCCCAGTGGCATGGCTTGACAAAACCACGTGGGTAGACAGCAGTATAAACAGAAATTTTTTGGGGTAATTAAAACTCAAATAGTTTTTTCTCAGTAAGGGGCTATCCGTAAATTACGTAATTCTAAAGAGAGGAGGAGGGGGTTTGAGACAAAGTTACGCTGCGTTACATAGTGGCAGGGGTTATTAGTTTAGTATTACATAATGTTTGCTGAAATTATTCCATTTTTTGAGTCTTATACTAAAACATTAAAATATTAACTAATTAATTTGTTTTAAAAACATAAATAAATTAAATGTTTTAGATGTAAATTATTACAATGAATAAAAAGTTTTTTTCATCCATTTTTTTATTGAATCTGTAAGCGTCAATAAAGAAGAAAATATTCAAAACCGAAGTGTAGTTTATTCTAAAAACCATTTAAATTGGCACAGTAGATTCTCGCTTATGCATAATTCCTGATGGTGGAGTGTGCATGACTTACGACAAAAAATTTTGTTGCCTTGGCATACATCCTTCACTCGTAACTTTCCTCTAATCTTTTTGTTAGGTGCAGTCAGCATCACCAACTAATTCTGTCTTTAATTATCATAAATTTAAATACACAACACCAATAAAATCATTACAAGTTGTTTTACTGTGTTATAATTTTTTCACTTGTTACATTAACAAGAAGGGGTGTTGCAAGTGTTTCGCGGTTTAGAGCAGGGGTTTAAACGCATGTAATGATAGCGTTATATGGAGGAGAGGGAGTACTCAAAGTATTTCAAATTTGTGTTACATAATTTATGAATGGCCCCCAGAGACTTTCATCACTGTATAAATTCATTGGTTGAATTGCTCATAACATTATTTCTACATAAATGGATGGCTTTTATATAAAAGAAACCAAGCACCATTTTTAACATTTCTGAGATACACACAAATTTATATATCCCGTATAACATTGTACTGTGAATATATATTGGATATTCCAATATATATAACACATATATATTGGAAGAGACATCGGGTCATGTGCTCCCAGCTGTGAGAGATTGAACCAACTATGAAAAAGAATTATCATCATTTTATTTTATTTATACAGAGCCAAGTGCAATTTGGCAGATGGTTCTCTTCACAGAAAATATTAGATGACTTTTCTAGAAAAGGAACCTTACGCTATGATATGGAAAAAACATTGCCTCTAACAAGATTCTCAGCAAAAGTTATATTTTACCAGAGGCAACTTTGGGTGTATAATACTGGGATCTATTCTGGAAAAGAAAAAAAAAATTATGTTTGGGTAGAAGGCACTGCAGATCGAAATGCCCAGGAAGTGGATTCTTGCTTGTGAAAGAACATTTGTACCCACGTTGGAAGGAAAGTGACAGATCCTATTTTATTGTCTGACATGTGTGGGGTTAAGAACTGAAACATAAGAGTTACAAAGTGTTTGACGATCTGCACATGCTGTATTCTGCGAAGATGAAGTACCTCATTTCAAGACAGTCTCCCAAAGAATTCTGATTTCAGTTATATGCCAACTGCCCTGAAAAACCTACTATAATGTTAAAATATTAACTAATTAATTTGTTTTAAAAACATAAATAAATTAAATACTTTAGATGAAAATTATTACAATAAATGAAAATATTTTTTCATCCATCTTGGAGGACTACATTAAGATAATGGCAGGAAGTCACAAAAAGTGGGTAGTAGTAGATGAGTCACAAATGCAGATGGGTAGCAACTTCAAAGGTGTCGAGAAAATTGAAAAAATCACCAATAGGAAGGTAGGTATTGAGAAAAACAAAATTACCTGGCTTACAGTTTGTGCAATTGAACTTGAGAGAAGCAAACCATTTGTATTGCACATGAAAACTAATTTTCCCAAGACAATTTCATTTGAAGGATATTAAGAGAAGACAAGCAGACTTTTGTATGGTTAAGTTGATTTCCTTCTTGCCTATGGGAAAGCCAATAAGGAAGGAAAAGCTTAAGGGTATTGAATCTGTACAATACCTCATACCAAGCAATGCCTGACAATTTTATGCAAATCTTAGTTACAGAACTGGAGTTGAAGAAGGCTTTTAGAAGTAGTTTTAGAATGTTCACAGACTTAATTGTAGAACATTTAACATTGTATGCATTTATTTCTTATAAATATGTAACTACATTAATAAATTTTGTATCTTTTCTTGTACCTAAATCGATTGCCAAACTTTGCTAGTTCCATTTTATATACTAAGTAGTAATATAATTTATTTAAAAATAGCAAACTGTTGTTTTTAATTATGAAGCTCTTAGAAGTGGCAAATATAAATGGAATATGTAATAGTAAAACAGATTTTAATATATTTAAAGTTACACTAATACATTTTTTTATGAAAAGTCAGTTAGGCAGTTTTTTAAATGACAATCATTTTAAAAAAAATGAGTAGTCTTCATTTTGATTTCAAAATAATACCTTTTTAAAATTTTATACTGTGTTTAACTTTTTGTAATTTTTTTTCTCCCCAAGATCAAAAATATGGTTAGGAAATCAACTAAAATAAACATTTCTCCAAGCCCATAACATTTTGTACTCAATGCATTTAGATTTTTTTCAATAGCATCTGCAAAACAGCAGAAGTCAGAATGGAATTGCTGTCGATTGCTCTTTGTTATGCTGCACTGAAACTTCCTATTAAAATTAAAGTTTGCCACAAGTGTGGAAAATACATATGTTCACAGCTACCTGCAGCACTGATGATTGTGGAGAACATGGCCGAGTGGAACAGACAAGGGCACCCGCAGGCCAGGCAAATGGGGATAGGGTGTAACTGGGTGGTTAGATCGCAACAGGGTGAGATCATGCAGAATGAGGAAGGGATGGAGCAAAGTTCGGCAAGACGGTTGAGTAGGGAGGGAATACATTGTAAAAGAACTTACTCCATTTCCTAAGAGGTGATTGTGATTAATAAATACCCACATAATGCAGAATAACTTAGCCTGCAATGGGTTAATTCGTGTCAATGCTACAAATATGATTATTTATACACCAGATTGTTAATGTATAACGTAATCACTGTACACAGTATTCTCTGATGCAAGTGTTTTCAAACGCCCATATGATCTTTTTCACTCCACATTGAGATGGTGTTCTCTACTACTTAAAATTAGAATTATATATTTAAGAAAGTTAATATATAATATATTGATATAATATTTTGTAATTTAATTATAAAACAATTTTATATTAATTTTTGTGATTTGTTTAGTTTTGTACAATAGTTCAGTTTGGGAGGAATTGCAGGCAAATACATGTGCAATTCTTCATAAAATAAAAAATAAAATAAAAAAGTTGCTAATT